TTAAGAAATAGTTTGATCCACATCCATCTTTGACATCAGAGTAACTGACAATATCAGAGTAACTTTTAGAGTTATTTAAGTGCCCCAGGCACATCCTAGTCCTATTTGAGTTGCTTGAGGGCTGGCACTTCCTGTATCTTGTGCATGATGCTAGAACTTGAAGTCTTATCCCAAGGCCTAGGTACCCATTCCTAAAACATCTGATTCCCCCACAGCTGCTCCTCTTGGAGTCTTCCCTTCAATTCAGAAAGATAACTCCACCCCCCAGTCATTCAAGTCCCAAACCTTGGTGTCATCCTCTCATGGCAACTCCTCTCTTGCTTTCACACCTTACCCTCAAAAAATATCTGACGGAATCAGACTTCAGCACCCCTATGGCTACAGGGCCCCAAGCAGCCACTGTCTCCTGCCCGGAACCGCCAACAGCAGCCTCCCTGGTCTCTGCTTCCCCTCTTTCCCCGCTGTTGTCCCTTCTCCACATGTAGGAGATAGATCCTATTAAAACCTATTTAAATCGGGAGGGCGAAGTATTTTCCAGACATCCTACAGCCAGCGGCAGAGTGCAGAACAGAAACACGCCCATGACCTCAGATGTTCACGTGCGGAACCCTCTGCTATGATGTTTCAGGGCTGCCGCTAAGGCACCTGAAGTCGTTTCATGGAACACAGCCACTTCTTGCCTCATGGGACCTCCCAACATGGGGGGCGAGGGGGGGGTTCGGCGGGGAAGGGGTTCGTTCTCCAGACAACACAGGCCCGGTGAAGCCAGCCGGCGAAGTGTCAGAGCTGAGATCAGAGCCAGATGGGACTCACTCATGACAGACAAGAACTTCCCCTTAAAAAGAGCAACAATCTTCCGGGAGCCCCCCAGACCCAGACTTCAGCAAATGGTGGTTAATGAAAACAGGCATTACAGCTTACCAGTTGGATAAATTATGAAATTTATTTATATTTCACCTTTTAAAAGCCAGAACATAACAAATGTCACTTTCTGGAAAGTCGTCTTATTAGAAATACATGAAGTGCACTTAATACAAGGAACTCAGTTTCTTGGTATCACCAGTGAGACCACCATCATCAGGTCCCGCAAATGAAGGTTTTGTCAAATTTCCCTCTAAACTTAGACTGAGATGAACTTCTTCCAGAAATTACAGTGAAGAATCTGACCATAACATTGGGGCCCTCCCAAGCAACAGCACATTAGAAAAAGTTACTTTGCCCCCAGAGGGCCCGTCTTTGCTGGGCCCTGGGCACGTGCAGCTCTCGCTGGCAGGGAGCGCAAGGCCCACAGCTCAGTGCACGGGCCCAGAGCCCCTTGTCATCTGAAACCTCAGCCACTGACCAGAAACAATGTCCATATTCAGACAAGAGATCTAACAAGGAAAAATGAACCTAGACCCAGATGCCTTTTGGTGGATCAGAAGCTCTGCTCCTACAGATTAGACAGCCCTTAGTCTCGTATTTATTAATATTCGTGAAACAGTCGAACTTCAGGCTTCCGAAGGTATTAGCAAAGCAAGTTTCCAGTGGACAGCTTCCATTACCAACTGCTCCCAGGAAGTGTGCTGTGCCTTCTGAACAGCGTGTCTTGTCAGAGACAGCAGTGGCGATACCAGATCTCCCCAACCCCTCCGCTTTAGAAGGCAGGTCTTCACACACCGACTTACATGTTGAAACCAGTTTTATAAGGAAACCATTCGTGATAGAAAAGCAACACACAGTTTAATCTAAATTACCAAATAAAAGAACTAGTATCCACTGGAGCCCCCAAACTTCTTATTCATTTGAGGACTCCTTTTTGTGCTTCAAGGACAGGAACATAAGCAGGCTCCCCAGTAGAGAAGCAAACATAACCAAGTCACCGGAAAATACTTCATTAGTTTGAAAATCAGAACCAAAAAGCTATGGCCCTCCCACCTCACTTAGCTGACCCTCCTCCCCACTTATGGATAAATGGAGTTTAACTTTCCTAAGCCAGAAACACTTACTTTCACTAAAAATATGTGGTTACACCTTTATCCTAAAAAGGCACCATGCAGGCATTTAAGATTGAACCAGTTAATCCTAAGGGTGTGCAGGAATGGTAGGAAAATATCACTAAGCAAAACTTCCAGCACCAGACCATGTTAAGTCCAGAACATTCACGCCAACAGGACGTGTGAAATGTTTCCCATGAGGTAACTCCAGCTTCTGGCAGCTGCTGCCAAGGACCAACTAACAGGAACTTGCACAGCACAGAAGGAGCTCCATCACTGATCAGATGCATTATTGCCAGAGCTCACACACCCCGGAGACAAGGAGAGGAGACGCTTGTCTCATCTGTGCTATTCATGACTCAGAAAAGGTCCTGGCTGGCTCAGAGGACCTGAGAGGTCAACATCGAACACGAGGCTCAAATGTGAAACAAGGACAGGTGGAGAAGCTGGGTTCCCTTCCAAAAAGGAGGCAGAAGCTGCAGGACGTGGCTGAGGAGCAAGACCAGACATGTGACAAGCAGGGTAAACAGTAGGGGAAAAGACCAAAGGAAAGGAGGGCTCTGATCTGGGGACCTGTTCCCCGTCGGAAGTGACCCTGTCCTAATACCACGGCTCACTTCCAGGTCTGTTGTACATTTAGGTGGAGGAGTCACACGTTTCCCGCGGAACATGTAATGGAAGCTCTGGAACACGAGCCCCAGCAGAGCCTGCTCACTGGTCGATGATGGAGCGCTGCAGCACCTGGTTCATCATGTCCTCCTCATCCACGTCGTAATCCTACGGGCAAAAAAGACGCTCGGCCTCAGCCAACTGTGCGCAGCTGCAAGAACTCACTTTCAGTTGGAGAAGCAGGGCATGTGAGCGGTGGCTCTGGAGAGGGGCCAGAGGCCAGGGGCCAGCTCCATGGTCTGCGATGCCGGCTGCATGACTCCGGGAAAGTGCTTGATCTCTCTGTGCCTTGGCTGCCTCATCCTGACGATGACCATGATGACGGCTCCCTCAGACGGAAGGGTGGGGACCAGAGAGCACCTGAGTGAAGCCTGGCACAGACCAAGCATTCAGACCTGGAGCGTTCCGAAGTAAAAGCAGCCTTTTCCATTCAATGAGGCAAAGCTATCTATTTGGGAATTGCAGCTGGCGTTGCTGGCTGCATTACCTGAGTCACACACCGCCTAGCTTGCAATTCCTTAGCAGAATCACTTCCATTACTTGCCTGGTTCCTGTGGGCACCTGAGCTTAAGCATCCTAAACCAGGTTCCATAACAGGTAGAAACCACATACTGAAGTGGACAAAAGTTTTGGAAAACATAAAATAAAAGCAAGCTTACTATATCTCAGTCTAGATGACTGGCCAGTTCATCTTCTTAAATACCACACAGCTGTCATTCCAGGAAGCCCATCACATCAGTGACAAAACTCACCAAGGGGGCCCACAGTTCTCCAGGTAAGAGAAGGGAGGGAGCTGTGCCACCCCCCGGGGGAAGGAGTTAGAGCACAGGCTCCAGACTCACCACGAAAGTGTCGTAAGAAAACTGGTGCCGGCGCTGGATGTGCTCTATGAAGTTGGCGCTGCGGTAGTTAGGGTCTCCCCAGGGCATCGAGGCACATATCGGGCAAACCTTTCAATAAAGAAGCACGGTATCAGGTGCTGGATGTCTGAGCTGACATTAGCCCTCTGTGGCCTGTGTCCGGCCACCTTTCTTCCAGGACAGCTTTCCTGACCACCAGTCCAGGGCCTGGTCACATCTTCAAGTGCACATTCACATCCCAGAAGACCCTGTCAGTCTCCCACTCGAGTCAAAAGGCTTAGGCCATGATACCACCCATTTCTGATCCCCTGCTGAGGTGAGAACACTGTGTCAGCCTAGAAGGAGCCTAGACTACGACCTTCCAACCCAGCACACAAAATGATCTAAAAGCACAAAGAAAACCAAGGAAATGACAGATTAGCGACATCCCAAGGAAGTAAAACACAGCCTTATGTGCTACTTTTATAAAGTAAATGCTCAGATGAGGGGGCTCAGGCTAAAAAGCCTTCATACAAGAGGTTGATTTGGGCTTTGAAGAGCGGGACGTATTTGGAAAGACGAAGAGTACATGGCAAGAAGCCAATTAGTCTGGCTAGAATGGAAAATTCACGGCGAGGGGCAGAGAGGAGTTGGAGGGGGGGAAAAGCAGGCATAAGTGGTCTGGCTTGCCAACGGAACCCCACCATCTACAAGGAAGATATGTGACAAAGGGGGCTGACATAAGATAAATATGAAATGGTGAAGGAGCTAGGCAGGCGGCTGGCGCTGTGGAGGAGAGCATGATCAGAACCAGAGTCTGGGGAGGAGGCTTCCAAAGGGGAGGGCTGAAACACTGACATTTAAGGAGTTCTGCAGAAGGAGAGGGGCAGAACAGAGGACCAAGGGCTGAAGGAAGTGAGGCTTCAACAGAGACAAAATAATCAGAGGGATTTCAAGAAGCCAAAGGAGGGAAAAAAAAAGGACAAAAAATTAGGTTGCAGTACCAGATACCACAGAGTAGTTTAGCAATATCTATCAAAATTATGAGTGCACTTAACCTTTGACCAAATTAATCCATATCTAAGACTTTATTACTATTCTTTTTTTGTTAGGAAGTGGGATTCACTGATGGGCCTCGCTGAGGAAGGGACAGGGCCAAGGTCTCATGAGTGCCTCTGTCCAGGAGCCACGATTAGTGATGTATTTGACCCCAGAGCTATCTGGGATGAGCCACTTCTCAGCCGCCATGTCTTCAGATTCATCTGCATTAAACTTAGTAAATCCCCACTCCTTGGAGATGCAGATTTCCTGGCGGCCAGGGCGCCTGAACTTGGCCCTGCACAGGGCCTCAATCACATGCTCCTCGTTCTGCAGCTTGGTGTGGATGGGCATGATGACTTCGCCAACGGAAGACTCTGGCTACTGTGCCCGAGGGCCTTCCCAAGGCACCCTGTATACCTGTCTGGAGCCTAGACTGGGGACGGCCTGAGGCCAGACACGAAGGTCCACTGGAAAGGGCTGTCTCCAAGGTCCCTTAGGGCAACCCGTACAGGCAACAGGCTGCATATACACTACCGAGGAGGCTGCTCTCTGCAGCCACTGCACACCGGGCCCCCATGGGGAAAAGAGCACGGTCGGCTTAACTGGCTGCAGGCTAAGACTTTATTTTTCAGACATACGTAAATACAGGCAAAGGTATGTTAAAATCTATGACAGCCTTTACAAATGTACTATGAAAAACTTCAGAACTATAGGAAAGTAGATAATAGTTTGATAAACCATCCCTTATCCCCAACACCTAGATTTAAGTTTGGCATACTTACTTCAGCAAAAATGAAGCATTTAAAAATAAGACACAACAATTCACCCTTAACTGTTTCAGAACAGCCCTAAAAATATGTTTCCCTTTACAAATACAGTACTATTTATTATCTCACCCAACGATCAATTTTTTTAGTAGCATTTAATATCCAGTCTTTAATCAAATTTTCTGATACCGTCTGGAAGTAACCTTGACGTTTATCAATAAGGGACCAGTTAAATCATGGTACAGACAAGTAATGGAAAACTGAGGAGCTCATTAAAAAAGAATCAGATCTACATGTACTGATGTGGACAGATGTCAACAACATTGGTTACAGTGTGTAGAAATGCGCTGTCATTTGCATCCAAAGGGGGACAAAAAAGGAGGACGCACATGAATCATACATTTGAAAGGTAGAAATGTCACTGGATGACATAACTGTGTATTTTCCACACACACAGTTGAGCACTACTCAGAGGCCAATGAGCACCCGACAGAGGTGTCTCTGATGCTGTTAAGAGAGAACTGGTTTAGGAGCCAGGACACTGGGTTCCAGTACTGGTTCTGCACTAACCAGCTTCACAATGTGGGCAATCCACTTAACGTGGGTGGTACGCTGGTTTCTTATTCACTTCCAGAAATGAGTGCAGGGGAGACAGTGGTAGGAAATGAATTTGAGTAGCTCTATCATTTGATTTAACATCCGTTTTAGTTTTCATAATTACTAAAATAGTTGAGCTTACCTGGCTAACTTTAAAATGGAAAATGGGTAGTGGGAGCAGGTGGTGGTGTTTGTGTGTCTGTGTCTAAGCTCATTTGCTCTTGCAATTAGTAATAGTTATTAAGAACCATAACTGAAACATCTTGAAGCAGCAGCTGAAAACCTGGCTTTGGGGTGTTTTTCATAGAACATACCATGCTTAGTGCAGACAAAGAATGTGTACCGAGCAGCTATTCTGGAATCATAGGGAAAGAAAATGTCTGGCCTCAGGCCATCCCCAGTCTAGGCTCCAGACAGTATACAGGGTGCCTTGGGAAGGCCCTCGGGCACAGTAGCCAGAGTCCACATTGGCGAAGTCATCATGCCCATCCACACCAAGCTGCAGAACGAGGAGCATGTGATTGAGGCCCTGTGCAGGGCCAAGTTCAGGTGCCCTGGCTGCCAGGAAATCTGCATCTCCAAGGAGTGGGGATTTACTAAGTTTAATGCAGATGAATCTGAAGACATGGCGGCTGAGAAGTGGCTCATCCCAGATGGCTCTGGGGTGTGATGGCCATTCCAGATTGGCATCTGCCTCAGAAACCTCAACACTCATCTATGTAATAAAGATACAGATCTCAGAAGGATGGGTATTAGTATCAAATGATGAGGCTGTTTATTTCTGAGAGAAAATAATCAGTTCTTTGTGACTGATCTCATGCAAGGTCGGCAGGCATGGTGTGGTGTTCTACTTTTACACTGGGTTTACTTCTATTATACAAAAATGACAAGTGGTAATACAATGCATTTCTCACATCCAAACATAAACTAAATTGCAAGAATATAAAAAATACTTGAATAACTGATGATATAGAGGGAACCAGGAGTCTAGGGGAAGGGGCCACAGTCCACTTCTTATACAAGGAACTGACTACATACAAACAAACAAATTTTAAAAATTGCAGCGAGGTGAGAGAAAACAAGGACTTAAGAAGACCAGCTGGGTCCATGGAGAATGTGATGCCAGCAGTGGACGCTGGACTCTAAAGGGATAAAGGAGAGAATACGGAAGAGACAGCAGCAGCTGACAAACCAAAGCCTGAAGGAAAAGAGAAACTGCAGGCTATATAGAGAAAACAGTGGATCAAATATTCCTCCCACCAATTAGACAGGGAAGATTGGGCATGTCTGAAGGAAAGCAAGTGTTAGGAGCGGGTAGAGAGAAAAGCTGAAGGTGACAGGAGAGGCATGGCGGGGAGAGGAAGCCTCAGGGGCAGGGCAAGGCCCTAGTCTCAGTCCTCTGCCTGGATCTGAGGATGTGGGCAGAGAAGAGGCAGACTTGCAAAGGAGCATCTTCCTCAGCACGAGGGAATGATAAGGACACAGAAGGAGGGGTGCACACTCAAGTGTTCACAGGAACCTGGCGGGAAAGGCAAACAAGCAAAGCAGGATGTCTGTGAGCCATCCCATCTAGAGGGGCCAGCACTACTCAGAGCCAGCCAACTCTTGCCGGAACTTCTCATTTCTCAAATGCGGAGTATCAAGACTGAGAAATCTGCTAATTTTTAAAGTTTGGGGAAATGAAAATGGGTATGGGCCAGACAGGCTGCCAGTCTGTGACCTCAGAGATAGATCAGAGAGCTCCTGAGACAGAACGAACAGAGAAGAAAGGAACACACACCTGGTACTTGGAACTTAGTGAAAAGCAGGACTCACCATTATCTGTGGAAAAGATGGGGATAGTTCATGCCAGGAACTTAATGAAAAGAGAGTGCCCAGAACAGCCACCAGACAGTGTGTGTGTGTGCCTAGCGGCAATAGGGCCTGGCTGAAAACAGGGTGCTCGCTGGGCCAAGCCAGCCCAGTTCCCTAGTTTGGGGAGTTGGGAAAAGCAGAGAGGGGGGGGGTTCATCTGTGGAATCTGTCACAGCACAACATTAAGAGTCCAGGGAGCCCAGTGTAAAAAGTAGCTGTACTGACCAGAATTTGGACTTGGCAAGGAGTTCAATAGAGAAGATTCAAGGTATTCTCACACAGACCAGCTGAATCTTAAGATTTAAGACAGAAAAACACCGAGTGCCATCAGGCCTAATTCTACTAGCAAAAGCTCATGCAAATTCTCAAGTCTGTACACCATCTTTTACAGCAGTGGAGCTGAAGATCTGCTCATAAAACTAGCTACATAGTTCAACAGAAGCAGTGTGAGATAAATTGGAAAACAAACAAAACTATAGAGAAAGTTGTATTAAGACCTAGTCTGTCAATCACATTAAGAGGGAAGGGTAACACTGCTGAGATGTACCAAATTCAAACTTTTTTTTTTTAAAGAAAACTACATGTCAGCCTTGATATATAAATTAAATATCAAAGGACTGATAAGCACTTTCCTAATAACTTCATCTACATTCTCTTTCCCCACAACTATGAAGAAGCTACTCAAATGGCAGCTTTATGCAGACACCAGGGGATCCAAGTTAACATTACCAACAATGGGAACAACAAACATCACATGACCCGCCTGATGTATACCCGGAAGATGTAGCATCCCTGCTGGTAATCATGAAGAAACAGACAAACCCAAATTGAAGGACATTCTACAAAACAACTGGCCTGTCCTCTTTAAAAATGTCAAGGTCACGAAAGACAAAGAAAAACTGAGGACTAAAGAGACATGACACCTAAATATAACACACAGATCCAGGATTTTGGGGCCAGGGGAGATTGCTATGAAGGACAAAACAATTGTTAAAATTTAAACATGAATCCCAAAGTAGGTATTAGATTGTATCAATGTTACAATTCCTGAATGTGAAAATCAAACTCACAAAAAAATGTGGTTTTCTAAGAAGACATTTACTTCTTCTTAGGAGATATGTGCTGAAGTATTTAGGGACAAAGGGTCATGATATCTGTAACTTATTCTCAAATGGTTAGCATAAAATATGTATATAGAGTATAGTTAAGCAAATATGGTAAAATCTTATTAATCTGTGACGCTAGGTAAAGGGTACATAGAGTTCATTTAACTAACCCTGTAATTTTTCTGTTAAGTTTGACTATTTTTCCTCATAAAAATTCAAAAAACAACAACAAAAACCCACATAACAAAACAAAAAACTCAAAGAGTTACTCTTACCACAGATTTGGTGTCCGTGCTATGCAACAACCTGCAGTGTTCTACAAGTCCTTCTTGATCAAAATTCTTCTCGGGACAGTAAGGACAAGGGAAAGTATAACGGTTTGGGACATTTCTGGAAGATGAAAGGCAGGAAAAAAGAAGAAACCTCTCTGTGAGTAACTTTCCACATAATGTCAATCACTGTACCCTCCCAAAAGGAGCAAAGTTCACTCAATGTGTCATGACAGAGGTTCTGATGATCACTTATGCATCAGGTCAAATGACTGAAAATAACAGATCAGCTAATATTTGAAGTGAACATGAGAGCCCTTCTCCATACCCATCCCAAAACAAAACCTTACATCAGCTTTAGCCAGCATAACAATTATACCGCCACTTTCCAAAACTCGTGAAGAAAGACGTCCACCTAAGAGAGTGACAGAGTCATTTACCTTGGCTGAAGGGACACATCCTTGGTGGTGGCCTTCACACCTTCCATGATGTAATTCTGGTATTTGGAACAGGTAGCCACATGTGCACGGATCTTGGATAGGAAGAACTTAAGTAGGAAGAATCAGAGCCCACAAGTTAGTCAGGAACTTGTACCCAGTCCAACACAGTCCCAAAGTGAAGGCAAGATGAAAACTAGACCTATATCACCCTGGAAAACAATCTCACCAGACTTCTGGCTATGCTGATGGGACTGAAACTCTGACCGTTGCAGGGTTTCTGTTAATACCAAGGCTGATGTTTTACGTGACCAAACGAGGCTATCTGCCTCCACTCTAAAATCACTCGCAGAGAGGTCTGCTTTATTCATGATATGCTCTCTGCTCGCAGAGGCACTCCAAACCCAGTGAAGTTTTTAAAGTTTTCCACACTAGCACTTAAACTAATCTCCTTACGCAAGCCAAGAACCACATTCCATTATAAGTGCGGCAAAGAAAAGTGATGATTTACGTAAAAGGGATAAAGGCTAGTAATCCTAGTTAAACAATTATATCCTATCACCAGATTGTGATAAATGATCT